CCAATAGGGGCAGGTTTACTGCCATGATGAGCTTGTCAACCTTATCATTGCCTCAAGTAAGTATTCCTGGCAACCTCAAATGAGATCAGATATGGGTTATATACCAGGGATGCCCCTTATTCTCTAGCATGTCTTCTATTGCTTTCATGGTCATGGAGATGGGATCTCTAAGGGTTTTTAGTTTAGCAAGGGACAACAGCTTGCATGCCTGGGTCATATATCAGCTGTCTGAAAAATGTTTATGGGTACTGATTAGCTCAACTCCAGTACCATAAGGATGGCCAGGAGTTCTCCCATTTGGACAAAGCCTGGGTGAAGTTGGGTATGAGTTATTTCTTTGCTATTGGGCATTGTGATTAATTGTCAAAAGTTTGTTCTATAGGCATCTCTAAAGGCTATAGCTGCTTGAGGAAGAGAGACATTCAAGGGGTTAGCATATGGGCTTAAAGTTAACTCAAGAAGTGGCAAGGCTGAAAAACATTTATCTTGGAGAAATTGGTTATCCAAGGTCCATGAAAAACCCATCATCATTTGTGGTGATATTTTATTTGTATGTTAATAAATAAAGTTTGCCTAGAGATCAGAGGAAATAGCAAGCCATTTTAAGTAAACACAAAAGTCAGGCAGTGGTAGCACATGCCCTTAATCCTATCACTTAGCAGGCAAGGTCTCTGTGTGTTCAAGGCCACAGTAGGGAACAGAGCCAAGCATGGTGACACATGCCTTTAATCCCAGTACCAACCCTAGAGACCTGGAGGTCTGTACAGACAGGCAGTGACAAGGAAGTGAGGTAGCTGGGCTAAGAGCCAATGAGAGGGCAGAACAGCAAGGTGTTAAAGGCATGGGTAGACAGGAAGTAGCACACTTTGGAAGCTGCAGTGTGATGAGGTAAGGTTAGCTGGTAGCTATTCCTATTTCCCTGACTTCCAAGGCTTTCACCCCTATATTTGGCTGCAAAATTTTTATTTAATAAGACCACTTAGAAATTAATCTACAATCATTTTTTGAAAGGGAAGATAGTCTGCTTATAAGTGCTGGGTATTTTGGACAGGGAAGGGGAGGACAATCTTGTCTGGTTCATGGCCCATGATTCCCCTAGCAGTTGCTCTTGCTTTAATGCCTATCTCAAAGGTAATAACAAACTTCAAGGTGATACTGGATAATTCAGAATGTGACAGATATACCCAGATTAGGGAGCCTGATTGCCACAGTGCTCCCAGTATGCTGCCTTTAGTCCAAAGGACTAGAACTATCAGGGGAGCCTTTGGATCATGTTTCCTCAAAGAGGCATTATAGGCAAGTTCACTAGCCCTCTTTAAGAGATCTCTGGCCCCTGTCAATCATACATTTGCAGAGGGGGAAGAATTCTCCTTGAGAAGGGAAAACAATTATCTCATGTTTTCATCAGGAATTGGGAGAAATTGAGCCAATTAATGGTGCCACAAAGTTCCTGGAGGTCTGTAAGGGAGTAGGACTCTTGTATTATTATAGAGGCACTGAGAGATTGGATGGCTTGGCTGATTTGGTAGCCCAAAAAAGCAAATGGGGATAGCCATTGTTTCTTTTCTGGGGCCACCTTGAGGCAAAGGACTCCTAAGTCCTCAAGGAGCTGGGGCAATAACTCCTGAAGTCTCTGTCTCTTCAGGTGGGCCAACAGGATATCATCCATATAGTGGATCATTAATACCTTACTGGGGACCCTAGCTAAGGTCTTTTGAACATACAACTGGCAGATGACTGGACTGTTTTTCATAACCTTCCAGTAATAATGGGAAGCAGGCTTTTGAACATTGGGCTCCCAGACAGTGAACACAGGGCTCTCTGTCCTCTGGAGCCAGTGGTATTAAGAAAAATCAATCTTTAATATCAATTACAAGAATATACCATCCTGGTGGAATAACACCTGGGTGCAGTAGCCCTGCTTAAGGGGGGCCCATCTTTTCCATTTGTGCATTCATTTGTCTTAAGTCTTGCAGAAGGCAAAATTTTCCTGACTTTTTCTTAATTACAAAAATGGGGGTGTTAAACCTACTGCAGAAAGGTTCAATATGGCCCGGTGACAACTGCTCTTCAATTAACTCTCTCAATGCTGGTAGTCTAGGTTCTATAATAGGCCATTGGTTTACCCACACAGGCTTCTGTGATGTCCAATTTAATGGTATGGGCCTTGGAATATTTATATCTGGGGGGGGGGCAGTAGCCCTTAGAATTGGGAGTGAAGGCTAGAATTTCTACCAGATTGACCTGTCATATATGTTTCTATATCCTCATAATGGCCTTATCATTTGTGGTAAGCATAGCCCCCATTTCCTCTAATAGATTGTGACCCCAAAGAGTACAGAGTGCTTCAGCTATAACAGGGCAGAATCGCCCCTGATTGCATTGAGGTCCTTCCAGTGAACCGTGTGAATGGTTGTTTTAGAAGGCTTACCCCCTCCTATCCTAGTAATGGTTGGGCGATTTTTAAGTTTCCAATGTGGGAAGGCCTGAGCATTGTTATGCCCAGATTGCCACCCCAAAGAGACCACTGAAGACCGTGGATGTCCAGAATGCAACAGCAAGGTTTATTCTATAGATACAAGTCTAGACAGGGAACTCATTCCTACACCCAATACAGTGAGGCAGGGAGGAGTTGCTCTTTCTTTGTGAGGCTAGCTATTTAAAGGCAAAAATCACAAGCCCTTCAGGGTGGTTGGGGGTTTGTCTTGGGTGCAACTGTGATTGGTTTATTCTTATTTTTATTCTTATCTGTTCTCTTTTAATTGGGTGAGGGTATGTAACCTTTAAATTTACTGGTTGGGAGTTACAATTATCATTTTGGGGGCTGTCTGGGACAAGTCCCAGGCTTTGTCCTTGAGTTGCCATGGGGGCTGGCTGGCCTAGCACGTACTGACTATGGGGGCTGGCTCAGTGGTCCAGGCTCTGTCCTTGACTCACAAACAGCTCTAAGTTGGTGAGGGGTCCCAGACAGTAAACAACTGGCTGAACTTTGAGCAGTCAGAGTTCGTGCAGAAAGTGAGCTAGTGCAAGGACTATGTCTTTTATTCATAGCCCTCCCAGAAACTGCTTGTTTAAGTCTCAGGAAACTGAAATTGAGGACTGATCTCTGAGAGAAGACTGAGCAGCCTGTTATGGTATCTGCTTGGTCCTTTCAGGCATCAAGAGATATTACAGTGGCTTCTGCCCCAGTATCTACCAAACCATTGGTGGGTCTGCCATCCAGATAAATAGTCATCATGGGAGAATGAGGAAATATAGGGAGGATACAGAAAACCTTTGGTTTTAGGGGATCTCCTCTTGTTTGCCAGGCTGAGGGGTGCCCCTCTTTAAGTTTAAAGGCAACTGGGGAGAGCTTCTACAATCACACGCCTAATGAAAATCTTTTTGGCATTTGGGGCATTTGGGTCTTGGGTAAGTCTTTAGGGTAGTCTCTACAAAGGGCATATGACTGACCACAGCCCCAACAAGAATGGTTAGGTGGGTCCATAATCATTATCTTTGTAAGCTAATAGCGGGTTGACAGAGGCAGTAAGGGCTGCTATGGACCCTGCCCATGGTTGAGATCATGAGTAGCAATCACCTATTTATGAATGTCCTCATTACGCACCACCACAATTGCATGGCAGGTAAGGGCATTGAGCCCTTCCCACATTGTATAATGAGCATCTCCCTGGTTGGGCCAGGATCCACCTGTTTCTCCACTGCCTCATTGACTTGGGCTACGAAGTCAGTAAACAATTCCCCAGGCTGTTGTATCATATTATGGAAGTAGGCAGTCAGATCTCTTGGAGTGCAGGATTTCAAGGCTTTACTTACAAGTTCAGAAACCTGCTGAAAATAGGCATGCAGGCCAATTTGGGCTTGAGTCACAAGATTAACATATTGGCCCCAGCCAGTCAGCATCTCTAGGGAAATAGCAACATTATATTGTATATTGAGGCATGCCTGTACTTCAGCTTGATTATCATAGGCTGCCCATTAGTTATGAAAAATGGTGGGTTCAAGCACTGCTTTCATCAAATGATAGCAGTCATAACAGGTTTGAAAGTGCATTGCCCACTGTCGCAGTACTTGCTCAAAATATGGGGAATTGGGGCCTGACTCACTGGCAGCTTTATGGATCAAGGAAAGATCGGCTAGAGGGGTAGGAACCACTGCAATGGTGCCAACATTAACTGGAAATGCAAAAGGATTTGTTGGATGATAACCAGAGAATTTAAGCTGAGGTGTGGTGGTCTCAGTTATCCCTGAGGGGCAATGGGAAGCAGAGATTAGGGAGGTATCCTGTAAGACACCCCAGGGATAAATAGTACATCATGGTTCATCATCCTTAAGGACAGATTTCCTGGGTAGTTTCTTGTGGGGAGGTGGATCTGTCTGTGAAGTGTTCTCTTCCCCGTCTGAGGTATGTTCCTCATAAGGCAGGAAAGAGATGAGGGAAAGTGAGGAACATTTTTGTTCCACAAAATGGTCATTAAAGGACTAGAGTACCTCCTCTGTAGTGTGTAGCTAGAGTTTTCCTGCCTTGCCCACAGTCATGACAAATCTCTATCACCCGCCAGTCCCACAACTACTCAGACCCAACCAAGTAAACACAGAGACATATTACTTACAAACTGCATGGCCGTGGCAGGCTTCTTGCTAACTGTTCTTATATCTTAAATTAATCCATTTCCATAAATCTATACCTTGCCACGTGGCTCATGGCTTACCAGCATCTTGTCTTCACATGCATGGCGGCAGCTGGCAGTGACTCCTTCCACCTTCCTGTTCTTTTTTTTCTCCTCTCTGTTAGTCCCGCCTATACTTCCTGCCTAGCCACTGGCCAATCAGTGTTTTATTTATTGACCAATCAGAGTAATTTGACATACAGATCATCCCACAGCAGTTGGCCCTGGGTTGCACATCATCATTTTTTGGTTTGGAGCTTATGGGCCAGGTTTCCTCTGACCAGAGCACTTGTTGTGCATGTCACAGCTCATTGTTTGCTTAAGGTGGCCCAGTGCTTCAACCTTACCTGCCTCAATTCATATTTTTTCCCTCTTCTTTTTCTTTTTTTTCTGTATGGTTCTTGGTAAGCCACACTTACTGTAAATTCTAGAGCTGTGTTCTTAAACTCCATTACAAAGACAAAGTTTGCATCCCTCCTTGTCTCTTGCCCTGTGTGAGATCACCTGCTTGCTTTGATACCATGTCAAGTTACTTAAGTTTTGCAATACTTGGGAATTCACATAAGGATCATTGTAAGATGAATTAATAAAAAACACAGGAGCCAGATATTGGGGTGAACCCTGAAAGAACAGAGACAGAACAAGGCACATCCAATCTCACCTTGCCAATTCCTCAGCTGATCTTGTTTCCTCAGACTGAAAGCCTCTGAGTCCTCATCTGAATGGATCAGACTCTAGTTCCTGGTCCTCACGCCTTACATACCTTTCTGCTTCCTGTCATCATTTCCTGGGATTAAAGGCGTGTGTCACCATGCCTGGCTATTTCCAGTGTGGCTTTGAACTCACAGAGATCCAGACAGATCTCTCTGCCTCTGGAATGCTAGGTTTAAAGGTGTGTGCTACCCACTGCCTAAACCTATGTTTAATATAGTGGCTGTTCTGTCTCTGACCCCCCCCCCCGTAAGTTTATTGGGGTGAACAGTATATCAACCATAGATCATAAACAGGGTATGTTGAGCCTGTGATTTTCTCTGGCCCTCTACACCTTTCCCTCAGTTCTTACATTTTTCCTCTGTAGTTATTTTTATAAATTGCATGCCTTATTTTTGCCCCTACATTATTTATTCAATCTGTAAGAGGGTTATGGTCAAATAATTAAAAGCACAGCCCCATGCCATCATGTGTTATTCAACTGGCAAGGCCTGATCTATAACCTTGTAATTGACATTGCAAAGATGACTCAAAATACAGATTGATATCTATAGTTGTGGGAACCATGATGTCTTAGTTAGGGTTTCTATTGCTGTGAAGACACACCATGCCCAAGGTGTGGTGATATATTGTGTACCCCAATAAAGCTTACCTGGGGATCAGAAGACAGAGCCAGACACTAAATTAGACACAGAAGTCAGGCAGTGGTGGCACACACCTTAAATCCTATCACTTGGGAGGCAGAGCTCTGTCTGAATCTTTGTGAATTCAAAGCCACACTGGGCTACATGAGAGAAACAGAGACAGGCAGTAGTGACACACACCTTTAATCCCAGAAAGTAATATGGCAAGACACAGAAAGGCATATAAGGTGTGAGGAATCAGGAACTCATGCTCTAAGGACTGAGGATTTCCTATACAGGTAAGAACTTGTGGCTGGCTTGCTCTTCTCTGATCATTCAGCTTTCACCCAAATATCTGGCTCTGGGTTTTTTCTTTCTTTCTTTCTTTTCTTTTTTTTTTTTTTTATTAAAAGACCATCTAAGATTTGAACAACACCAAGGCAAATCTTATAAAGGAAAACAATTAATTGGGGCTGGCTTACAGTTCAGAGGTTTAGTCCACATAATCATCATGGCAGAGAACATGGCAGCATGCAGGAAAACATGGTGCTAGAGAAGGAGCTGAGAGTTCTACATCTTGACCCACAGGCAGCAGCAGGAGACTGTGTGCAACACTGTGTGTAACTTGAGCACATAAGACCCCACAGCGACTCACTTCCTCCAACAAGGTCACACCTACTTCAACAAGGCCATACCTCCTAATAGTACCACTCATGTGGACCAAGCATTCAATTGAGGCCACACCTATTCAAACCACCATACATGATATCCTGAAATTTAAGAGAAAAATTTAGATGGAGATGATGCCATATTATCTGTGGTCAGTGAGGGTTATAGCACAAATAACTTGAATGTCACTTGGTAAAAAGCCTTTGAGAAATACAAAACATCCTTGAAGAAGAATAAGATTTCAAGATATAGTTACTATTACTTGGGCCATTTGTCGGATCCTCCATAGAAGTACTAAAAATATCCCAAACACAGGATACTCACAATATACTGTTGGTGCTGTTTGGCACACAGAGATCAAGATATCTTTTAGGAATCAGTGTATTTCATTGAAATTAGTTATCCCATTTTATGGATGTTCACATTCAAATAACTAAGATGGCATCAAATAGAAAAAGTTTCTCAGGTCTCATGCCTTAGTCTCAGGGCCTACATCTCCTGTCCAACATAAACCCTAGCATCCAAGCTGGCTGTGTCCAGGTTCTAGGATTCTCTGGTTTGGGTAGAGGGAGCAGGATAAAAAAAAGCTCTGTCTGTTTGAGACAGGATTCAGAAAATATCTGTTTAGTAACCTTAATTGTGTCCTATTCTTAATCTCCTCAGCATTACAAATGGTGGGGTTTATATATGTTAACTACTCATATGTCCTGCTGGGAAGTGACATGACAATATATTCTGGTTGGGAAGAGGAGAAGCCAGCTAAAACTCAGGCAAATATCCCCTTGGGTGACTGTTTGTGGCCTCGCTGAATCTAGGTGAGGAGTTAGGGGATAATTGAGGCCTTAGACTGTGTACTTTGCAGACTTCAGTGAGGTTTCACTGACCCCCCCCCCCATCACCTATTGTTGCTAGGAGGAAGTCTAGGCCTGGGCCCAAGTAACCATCTTCAGTGCTGTCTGAAGTGTAGCCTCAGATGGAGCATGGGTTGAGATGGAGGAGCATCCCTGAGTAGACCCTACAAACCCAAGGTCTGCTCTATATTTATCACTGGGCTCAATGCAAACCTCTTCAGAGGGCTGCCTTTCACAGCCTGGGAGACCTTGGAAACTGGAAACTGGAACATATAGGTTCTTAGAATGGTGAAGGCCTAGCCCTGGCCTCTGAATATATGTCAAATCTCCATGGAGAGAAGTTCCACACCTCATTCTTTACCTAAAGCCATATTGAATACAATGCCAAAGTGTAAAGGAATATCTCAATACTAAATAGCTCAGGTAGACTTTTTATGGATTGTTCCCTCAGTTGGTGAAGAAAGGACATAGAGGGTAACTCCTTGTACCTTCACCATTTACAACTTAACTCTCAAGTTTCTCCTTGAAAACAGAGGAACATCTGTAGGAAACACACACTGACTCTTGATTATCCTACCCTACAACTGATTGTTGTGTCTTGTTTACAACTATTGACAGAAAGTTCGTCCCAAAGACCCATATACCTTAGGGGAATCAGGAGAAATGAAATATTTAATTGTGCCTAGGAAAGTGAAAGTAGAAAACCTTAATGACTATTTAAAGGAAAATGTTTCTCAGAAATATCTTAAAATAGTAAAACTAGGTGACTGATAATCTGAAAGTTACTTTTATTTTTTGAGAAGTATTTAGTTGATTCTAAGGCATCTGAATATGTTTACTTTTCTTTAATATTAGATATAATCACAGTTTTATAGTAAGTATAAAAGTTTTCTTAGAAAGTTTTGAGCTGTACTGATTTTAATAGTCTATGCTTTTATTAAATGTACTGAAATTTCAAAATTTGAAGAGCATTTGAAAAGCATCCCTCCAAATCCATTTAACAATTAGCACATACCTGAATTAGCAATATTCTCTAGCAGACTATACACCCACTATCTAATATGTAATCAATACAGGAATGAATGGTTACTAATGTAAATAATATAATTGTTCATCTCCATGTCCACTGCAATAATCTAGATTCAATGACATTTTAAATGGTCCAACCTAATTTATAAAGGGAACTCACTTGCATAGCTCCTAAAATTAATTTTCCAAGAAAAGGAGCTCAAGATTTTTTGGAAAGATAGGTAAGTCTAGATCAATGAAAAAATAATCTAAGAAAATGTGTTAGTTCTTATATAAGAAGCTAAGGTTTTCTTTAAAGAGTTAACAGAATTAAAGTAAGAGAGAACATAGAAAACAAATTATAGGGCTTGGACTGTGATAATATGGGCATCACACGTGCAATGGTGTCTGTGGATAACACAAATATATTGAGTTTCCTGTGGTTTTGAGTCAATGCTGTGAATAAAAAAAGATATATATTGAAGAAGCTAGGGAGATCAGAACATTTCCTAGGAAATCTTATTACTCAGTCCTTGTGGTATGTCCATACATTTATTCCACCAATAAAGAACAGTCACTCAGCATTGTATGTATCACTTAGATGGTATATATAATGTGGCTCAACAGAATTACTCCATCCCTGTGCTTTCTATCCAGATAAAATATATAAGACAATTACAATCAGCTATCATTTTAAACTAGTATGAACTTACTTTCAAAAATATGAATGACCTATTATATGTTTATAAGCTCTTAACATTTAGAAGAAAAGATCATAAAATTTTAGCACTGTTGATCAGTAATGTGTTAGCCAGCTACTTGATTTGCATAAACTTGTAAACTTATATGGATAGAGAAAACGAAGATTATGGAAAAAAATTACAAGAAATGAGGCTTAAAGTGTTTCTTCAGGACATTGGATTAAAATCTAAGTTATTTCCCTGGGATCCCTCTCAAATTTTGATTAGCATCTTCAAGTCCAGAGTGACCTAGAAATAAGTATTTAAAAATTACTAAAAAGAAAATAGTGATAATATTTTAAAATTTTCATATTTTCTAAATGTATAGGCATCTCGCTTATTGTAATGACAGCCTGGAATCTTTTCTGAATCATGCACTCAAGAGCCTACTTAGAATTCAGTATTAAATATATAAAAGAATCTTAGTGCTGGGGGACGTCTTTCTGTACACTGTGAGTATATGTTGTTCCCAATGGTTAATAAATAAGCTGCTTTGGCCTATGGCAAGGCAGCTTACAGGCAGGTGGGAAATCCAAGGAGAGAGACAGCAAAGAGAAAGACAGAATCTGGAGACACCAGCCTGAAGTCTAAAGAGCAACATGCCAGTAGACTGGTAAAGCCAGGGAACATGTGGCAAAACATAGGTTAATAGAAATGGTTTAATTTAAGATATAAGAGCTAGCTAGCAAGAGGCCTGACATATTAAATAATATTAAGCCTCTGAGTGGTTATTTTATAAATGGCTACAGGACCATGGGGTGGGACCAGAGAAACATGAGACCTCAGGTCCAGGAGGAACCAGAGAAAACTTCTGGCTACATCTTAGTCTGACTGCATTTATATTTTAGATCTGAATGTGTCTCTAGAAGCTGAGAACTAGTACCCTCTAACAGCCATTAAAGAAGCAAGGCCCTCAGTTCTATACCCTCAGGGAAGAGAACTTCACTGGCAACTTGGAGAAGTCTGGAAGCACATTATTTTGTGGAACCTCCTGAAAAAAGCTGGGTTTCTTACACCCTGATTTTGTTTCTGTGAACCCACAGGCCTTGCTAGTTTCTTTGGCTTTCTAATCTGTAGAAATCACAAATGTGAGCTGTTTAAATTTCACCAACAAAAAACAAATAGTACTTTTAGCCTTTGTACTAAATAAAATCATTTAAGTACTAAATAGAATCATTTAAGAATTCCACATTGGAGGTTCATTATAAACTTCTCTCTTTCTGAAATTCTACTAATATTGGGCAAGTTAAGATCTCTGTTTAGGTATTTTTTTACATGCCGGGAAGTTGAAGGGATGCTATAAATTTTCACTGACTTCATATAAGATTGCCTCAAGGTTTTGGTGGGCAATCTGCCAATTCCTTCTTTTGTGTGCTACTTGAAGTAAAAATTTCCACAACATTCCATCCTAAATTCTTACATTTCAGTTCTTCCCACCCCTTCCTCTTCCTTTTCTTTTTGATCTTCCTCTTTCATCTGTAACTATAGCCTTTTCATTATCTTGAAATCTGATATGTATGGAATCTGGAATAAAATTCAAAACTATTCCTGTGCCCTCTTCTAATTAAAAGAACAAAATTATGTGTGGGGTTAGAATTGGTGGATTATTTTATCCAAAATCCATCATTGCCCCGAGGGGCACGCCACAGAGATTTATTTCACCATCATGCCAGTCCAGTACATTTTGCATGGGAGAAATTTTTGATTCTTCAATAGACAATTTGAATAAAAAGGAAAGCAGCATGGGTCAGTCATCCTTGTATATTGTACTTCTCATTGGACAAACCACAAAGACAGCAGCCAATGAAGGACACAGGGTGGTACAGTTACACGTTTACTAACTTATTAGGGCTCAACTTAGATATAAATTATTTATGTAAATTTCTCAGGAGTTATTTTAGCAGAGGTTCATGAACACCATGTCTATAGCATTTTTGCAAAATGACTTCAATAGAATAATTCTTTCATGTCTTTCATTGGCAACTTCTCATTTGTGGATGGTCTACGTTGTGGTGTAACTGACAGTGTTAGCTGCCTCTTCAAAAGATGTCTAGGTCTCTTTGGTTGGGGTTCCATTTGAAAGTTGGAGACTTCAAGGCTCAACCAAAGAGAGTATGAACTTACTTTGACTCTTGCTAATTCTGCAAGCAGCAACTTAAATGAACTTGCTTTCAATTTTCACACTGCTAAATTAGGCTCAACTGAAGGAGAGTCTGAACTGAATTTAACTTATGTCAGGGCTGAAAAGAAGAACTGTATTTTTCATAAACCTGATATAATTCTTGAAGTAAATGTTTTTTATCTGTAGCTGACTCCAGAATATGTACTATTCCAAACTATATAGCCTGGCAACTACCACTACACCAGCATTTCACTGTTATTTAGTTTATTAGCATTATCTTTTCTCTTTATATTAACTCCTTGAGAATTTCAAACAATGTATTTTGATCATTTCAGGCCCTCCTTTAGGTTCCTAAGGAAGTCCTGAGTGAGTGAAGTCCTGAGGAAATGTGTGATTTGACATGAGTCCAGCCCATTGAGGGCTCCAAGACCAATAGACCCATCATAAATTTTCAAAGCTGTTACTCATATGTGCCAGGCTCAAGAGGGATGGCAACACTTCCCTCAAGAGTGGTTAAGAATGATTGATCAGTGTGTGCAAAGACCAGCAACTGAAGCTTCCTCTGGATGTTTACTACCTGATACTGCCAGTATACTGAAATGTCCTATCAAGACTACCTAACCCCTCTCCTTGTGCTGCACTTAATGAACAGGCTGAGGTTCCAGGTTCTGGCCATAGGGGTTAGAGAACCCTTACCTAATGCCAGCTTCATTGCATGTGTGTTTGTGTTTCTGTCTTTTTCATTCCTTTGCTGACCCTGGCCAGGGTTACAGAACCCAAGTAGCACAGGATACAGTATTGCTGTGGGATGGTCTGTATGTCAAATTGCTCTGATTGGTCAATAAATAAAATACTGATTGGCCAATAGTCAGGCAGGAGGAAGTATAGGTGGGACAAGGAGGAGAAGAATTCTGGGAAGTGGAAGGCTGGGTCAGAGACACTGCTAGCTGCAGCCATGACAAGCAGCATGTGAAGATGCCGGTAAGCCATGAGACACGTGGCAAGGTATAGATTTATAGAAATGGATTAATTTAAGATATAAGAACAGTTAGCTAGAAGCCTGAGCCATTAGGCCAAACAGTTTAAATAATGTAAGCGTCTGTGTGTTTATTTTATAAGTGGGCTGTCGGACTGCCAGGGTTTGGCGGGACCCGGAGAGAAAACTCTCTAGCTACAAATGGTGCCCAATGTGTTGGCAAGAGTTTCCACCTAAAACCTGAGTAAAAGGATTCTAAAACGGAGCTAAAAAACAGTTCCTACTTGTCTCTTTCAAGCTAGCAGTAGCATGCATGTTTGAGCTACTATGGCAGGTTCCTGGTGTGTGCGCTCAACCTGCAGTATGGCGGGAATGAGGCCTCTGCAAGTGGCACATTAAGCTGTGTGGTGATTTAGCCTTTGCTAGTACAAAACAAAAAAAGAAGTTTCTGGGCTACACACTGCTTTGATAGAAGCATAGATCCACTATTTCTGAGAGTTGGTGGCTCCCAGAGCTGGCGAAAAATGTACCACTGCCATGTTAGGAAGCTGAGGTGGGCAGAGCCAGCAGCCATAGCGCTGTTTCAGTCTTGGAATGCTGCAGTTTAAAGCAATAGGCTCAAGATAATATAAAAAATAAGCCACATAAAGATGGCTACCATACAGAGAATCTGGATTATGTTCTCTTTGAAAGTCGTAACTGAAGAAAAACATTTGATTGAAAAAGCTGTTGAGTTATGCCAAAATGTGTATTTTAAAGGTACCTTGACTTCAAAATTTGGATATAAGGACATGGTGCTTTGGAAAGGAGGCTCTGCTTTTGTTTCCACAGAAAGCCAGAGGCTATGGATTTGTTCCAGATTAAGATACATCAGGTTTGACCAGCCAAGACCCCCTGAAAGGTCTCTGATGACACCAAGGCCCAGATGATCCAACATCCAGAACCATTTCAAGGCAACTGGCTCAGACAATACACTACTCCATAATCCTAAAATTTTCTTTGTGTCCCCATAAGATACAGCGCCCCCCTCCAGCAGGAAGTAGTAAGAGAAGCTACGCCCAAATTCCCAAATACACCAAGCTGGCTTTGGAGATGTGTAAAAGTTAAAACCTTCTTCTTTAAAAAAAGAAAGAAAGAAAGGAAGGAAGGAAGGAAGGAAGGAAGGAAGGAAGGAAGGAAGGAAGAGAGAGAGAGAGAGAGGAAAGAAAGAAAGAAAGAAAGAGAGAGAGGAAGAAAGAAAGAAAGAAAGAAAGAAAGAAAGAAAGAAAGGAAGGAAGGAAGGAAGGAAGGAAGGAAGGAAGGAAGGAAGAAAGAAAGAGAGAGAAAAGGAGAAGTGCTGTGGGATGGTATGTCAAATTGCTCTGATTGGTCAATAAATAAAACACTGATTGGCCAGTAGTCAGGCAGGAGGAAGTATAGGTGGGACAAGACGGAGAAAAATTCTCGGAAGTGGAAGGCTGGGTCAGAGACACTGCCAGCTGCAGCCATGACAAGCAGCATGTGAAGATGCCGGTAAGCCATGAGCCACGTGGCAATGTATAGATTTATGGAAATGGATTAATTTAAGATATAAGAACAGTTAGCAAGAAGCCTGCCACGGCCATACAGTTTGTAAGCAATATAAGTCTCTG